CCTTGCAGTCACTAAAGCTGCAAGGCAAGGAACATCAGTCTCAATAAATTAAGTCATGATTTTACATCAGTCTCAATAAATTAAGTCATGATTTTTCCAAGCTTCGAGAAGTGCATAGAACGGCCGATGGATGCAAGGATGGTTCACTTGCTTTCATGCCAAGGGATGCTCATCGGTTCTCTTACGATGAGAGGATCACACAACGGGTTAAAGTTAAGCTCAAGGATCAGCCAAGGTTGTCACTCGATAGTAGGCAAATTTCCATCAAAGTTTCAACCAACGATGCGAAGTCGAAGTTTCTTCTAGGAGAGCTGAACACAAGAAGCCAACAACAAGAACCTGGAAGCCGCAAAGGACCATCTAGTGTTGTAACCAAGTTGATCGGGTTGAAAACATTGCCAGACCCTATGCAAATCCATGGGTCAACGTTTTCGGATCAAGACTAGTCAGTATCCAATGATGATCCCGCTTCACTCTCATCGAGATTCGATGAGAATAAGAGAAATCAAGTTTCTTGTTCTCCAAGAAATTCAAAGAAGGAATCCATCTCGCCTCATTCGATAAATGCAGACTCAAAGAAACCTGTTGCAACTATATGTCCCAATGAACCGGACCCTTGGAAGCATATAGATGGAAGCAGAGATCAAACATCGACTTTGAAGTGCAGTCGAGAAACTCCACGTATAACCCAAAACGCCTCTCTAACTGTTTATGGTGAAATCGAGAAAAGGTTGCCGAACTTGAGTTCCAAAAGTCAGGAAAGGATCTCTGAGCACTTAAGCAAATACTTGAAGCAATGCAGAAGTCCAAACAGATGATAGAGACTAGAAAAGACGATCCCTTCAAATTTGCATCTCACACAAACAGCTCCTTGGTCGGAGCTCAGAAGCACCAAATTTGAGAGAGGTACAACACAGCAATACAACTTCTGCATAGTTAAGGGAACTAGTTCTCCAACACACCTTAATCCCCAGTAAAGGTTATAAAACCAGCAAAATGCATGGGATAATGCCAGCAATTCTAGTTCATTAGCAGTTGGAGCAGGTAGTTTAAGCAGAATTCGTACCGGTAGTAGCCCTGCAAATGCCGGAAATGAAAAGGTTGACTAGTGTCCTTGTAAGGAATTAACTCTAAGACCTAATTCTCCCAAGGATCCTTCCAGCCGCCTCCAATCGAGGGATAAGATGACTTCCAGAACTTCAAGATTCAACCAAACTTCAAAAGAGCTTCCACCTATTGCTCAGCAAAACCCAAGTTGGCAACGAGCTCGGAGACTGCATGCCTAGAACTGCAGAAGAAGAAACTTGAATCAGAAATCAACCTCATCGCACTTGTCCAACATCAGATCAGAGCATTAACAGAAGGCAATCAAGCAGACTACAAACAGAACCAGGCTTGACACACTGGAAGTCCAGGCACAAACCCCACAATTTGCAAGGATATGCTAATACGAGTGCTGCCACTTATGACATTGAAGCCACAAGAACGGATAGATCTTATAAGATGGGACACCAGTCTCCCAAAAACAGGAAAAGAATCATAAAGTAAGCGTTCTTCCTTCCTTCCATTCATAAGTTTGATCATCTTTTAATCAGCTTACATTTCTATGAACTCAGATTGAAACAACAGAACCTCCAAGTACAGTCATGGAACAACCTAGTCCTGTCTCCGTTCTAGATGCCACATTCAATGGAGACGAATCTCCGTCTCCCGTGAAGAAAAAATCAAATGCCTTTAAAGGTGACCACTCTTATATCCTTCATACACGTACTTGTATTTGACACCCTCGAGTCTGTCAAACACAGCGCTTGGACAGTTTATAGATTGAATTCTTTTCATTCTGTCATCACAGATTATGGGGGTCTTATTGCTGATGAATCAGATCTGAATAACAACAGCTTATCTTGAAGGCAGTTAACGAAATTCTTACAAGAATGAACGAAAACTCGTGCAAACCATGGGTCTCCCCAAGTATGCAGGAGGAAAGAAAATCAAAGAGACTGCAGGCGGTGGGCGATATATGTTCGGAAACAGATAAACGAAACTCCTTCAATTATAAGCTTGGATGATACAGCTGACAGTCTGCAAAGCATCATATTGAGATATTTGACGATTGGATCGATGAGCTGGACCAATTGCAAGAGAGAAATTCCAGGGGTTATATTAGATGTGGAGCGGCTGATCTTCAAGGACTTGATAGGTGAAGTTATCAGGGGTGAAGCAGAACATCCTCAAGGGTAGCACTGTTTGTGAAGTATGATATCTTATAATATCTCAATAAAGAGGGTTGTATCCTTCTTTATTTCCCTCTTTAACTTCTTTAGGGTTATAGTTTCAAATGAAGCTTGGATGAAGCTTCCCTTGATCATACCATGTAAAGTAAAAAGCTTGTGAAATACATGTAAATTGCAATCTTATGCATACGTTATATGTGTACAACTAAATATCGTTGAATAACAAAACTTATGAACTGGACAAATAAATATATGATACAAGTAGGGTTGTAAATGAACCAAGCATGAAAGAACAAAGCTGTATTTGTGTTCATTTGTTTATTTTTAAAGGTGTACATGTTCGATTGGTATTTATTTAAATTTCAGTATTATGTTCATGTTCATTTATTTATTTTTGGAGGTGTTCGTGTTCGTTCGTTTAGCGTTCGCGAATATATTCATTTAACGTTCACAAACATATTTATTTAACTCACTTTTAATATTTGGCAATCAGTAGAGAAAAATGATGAAACTATGTTACTAATCCTTAGTTTCCTTAGACTTTATGCTTAGAACTCTAAAGTTCACCTTATGTTCAATTTAATCCCTATATCATCAATATTTAAAATATAAAATAAAAGAAAAAAGAAAACCGAATAAACGAGCTTATAATCGAGTCGATAAATAAATTTATAAACGAATCAATAAATGAGTTTATAAAAAGTTACAAATGAACTAATAAACGACTCAGTTATAAACGTAAATAAATCAATCACACTTCTATTCATTTTTATTTATTTATAAATGAACGTAAACCAACGGTTTCCAAATACTTCATCGAGAACTGTTCATTTTTTCATTAGATTGGGCTGATTTTTAAACTCTGAGCTGCGGATAACGTGAGAGGGGAAGAAACCAGAAAAAGAAGCAGAGAGAAACCAATGCTCCAAAGCTTTAGCTGCGTAAAACCCTCTCCAAACCCCATAACCAAATTCATATCTGATCACCCGTATCTTTCTCTACTCGAAACAAAATGCACCAACATGAAAGACCTCAAAAAAATCCATGCCCAACTCATCAAAACCGGCCTTGTAAAAGACATCATAGCAGCTAGCCGTGTCCTGGCCTTCTCAGCTTCTCCCGCAGGAGACATCAACTACGCTTCTTCTTTCTTCGCTCGAATCGAACACCCAAATCTCTTTGCTTGGAACACCGTCATTAGAGCCTTCTCTCGAAGCTCAAACCCAGAAATCGCCATCTCTCTTTTCATTCACATGTTGGTTCATTCGTCTGTTGAACCGGAAAGGCTAACGTATCCTTCGGTGTTCAAGGCTTACGCTCAACTTGGCCTAGCCTGTTACGGGAGACAGCTTCATGGGAGAGTTATAAAACAGGGTCTCAACCGTGACCGGTTTATCCAAAACACAATTATTACATGTATGCGAATTGTGGGTTTTTGAGTGAAGCTTGGTTGATGTTTGACGAAGAGATGGAACTCGACGTTGTTGCGTGGAATTCAATGGTTATAGGGCTAGCCAAATGTGGAGAGATCGATGAGGCCCGGAAACTGTTCGATAAAATGCCGACGAGGAACACGGTGTCGTGGAATTCGATGATTAGCGGTTACGTTAGGAACGGTAATTTTCGGAAGCGTTGGAGTTTTCGAGAGATGCAGGGCGAGAAGATTCGGCCTAGCAGTTTACAATGGTTAGCTTGTTGAATGCGTCTGCTTGCTTGGGAGCAATAACACAAGGGAAATGGATTCATGATTATATACTAAACCAGAACTTCGAGTTGAACCCGATTCTCGTTACTGCAATTATAGACATGTATTGCAAGTGCGGCGATGTTGAAATGGCTGTACGAGTCTTTCAAACGTCTCCCGAAGGCGGATTGTCGTGCTGGAATGCCATGATCTTAGGCCTAGCTACCAACGGATGTGAACGAGAAGCAATTCTATTGTTTTCGGAGCTAGGGTCTTCGAGTCTCGAACCCGACTATGTCAGCTTCATCGGTGTTCTAATGGCTTGTAATCATGCAGGAATGGTGGATAAAGCAAGACAATACTTCTCATCGATGACGGAGAAATACAAAATCGAACCTTCCATTAAGCACTATAGTTGTATGGTTGATGTATTAGGTAACGCTGGGTTCCTCGAAGAGGCGGAACAACTGATAACAAGTATGCCTATTGATGGAGACGTTATTATATGGGGGTCATTGCTCTCGGCTTGTCGGAAGCATGGGAATGTCGAGATGGCGAAAAGGGCAGCAAAGCATGTTACTGAACTTGATCGGACGAAAGCTCCGGATATGTACTTATGTCTAATGTATATGCTGCAAATAGGCAATTCGAGGAAGCCAATGAGCAGAGGCTTTTGATAAAAGAGAAGCAATTAGAGAAAGAACCGGGGTGTAGTCTGATTGAAGTTAATGGTGAAGTTCATGAGTTTGTTTCTGGTGGAAGGCTTCACCCTCAAGCAAAGGAGATTTACTCTGTTTTGAATGAGTTGAAACTCGTTTTAAAATACGATGGATCACGGTAACATGTTCGGCATATATCGAGTCCTACATGGATATGATTGCGGTTGTTTTTAATTTTTTTCATATATTTAAAAGATCCGACTTAGTTTGAATACATTGTTCGAAGTCCGAACATGAAGAGCCGAGGGTAACATACTATACCGTATGAGGCTGTGAAGATACTGCAATAAGAGAATGAGGATTATTTGGACATAGTTCGTCCCGGTGCCCAAGAGTACATATCAGGTGTAGTGCCACTGGTGATCAAGTTTGTGGCATCCCATACAAATCAGAAATGTCAAGCTGATGGTGCGGACCATTGTGATGGTATCGGTTCTGCATTGCGGCTGCTACTTCATCTTCATCCAGTGGTAGACGATCAAAGGTGGCCTTCATGAAGGATGCGGCCATGATGAGAACGGACCGGAAGCAATGATTGCACCAACTACTACTACACCAGCAACCTGTCCCTGAGTACCGGCCAGGTAAATTGTTAGCCCCGTAATCCCGGGTGGGGCTGGAGGTGGCAGGATCGATCCAAGCAAGGAGAGGATCATACTGGCCGTGCAGGGTAACAATCACGCCCGATGAAGCGGTTGTCTAAGTGTAACATTGGTCACACACCCGCTAAGCACACAAATGCACGCTGCTTTTTCCTTGCAAAGTTAGCTAGACTCTCTTCACATCACAACCCAAGCTCACCTCCATCGCATGAGCTCTTATCGCATTAGCATTGTCACGAGTGACGAAAATGGGCGGTTTCGGTTTGTTTTTGGAGCCCGCTGGTCTCCCCCGAGGCCGCTTAATGTTCTTACCACCAGCTGCAGTACTGATCGGTTTCACACCTTGGCATTCTCTGAGCCATTAGTATTTCATCAATGGCCGGTACACGGAAATTCCCCTTGTCTTGTTCTTGATTATGATCCATGAGCACTCTTGAATCAGCGGCTTCTCCTGGTCAAGCACACACGGAATTCGGAATCGAATAGCAATTTTGCAGAAGCTGGTTCGGCACGTCGGTTTTAGTATTTGTTTCAATCATTAATTTTATCATTTGTTAGGAGATGGTTAAGTGATACCACCTTGTATCCATGTACATGTACTTTTATCCTACTGCCAACCTGCAACTGACCCTTCCATCATGTAACTGCCTTTCTCGACAACTACTGCTTTTCTTCTCTCTCTTCTTTCAGTTCAAATTCTTTGAAAAAATCAATCTCCTCAAATTCAATTAAATCTTAATCGAAATTAAATATTAAAATCTTTTTACTCCATCACTGACCAGCTTAAATCAAATTAGATTAATTTTTTGGCCAAATGATCCTTATTATTGTTAAGATCAATCGGCGATCGCTTTGTTCGTTAGAAATAATACCAAATGAATGCAAATTTAGAATATTAGAATAATTTTAAAATAAATTTTAACGTTTCATGTGAGTATTTCTTAATAGTAGCTAATAATAATGACCATAGTAAAAGGAAGTTAAAAATTTAATGATTGTAATGTAAGATTTAAAACTATGGTAATGAAAGTGAAAGAGGGTTAAAAGTTTAGTGACGTTTTGTAATTTATCCTTCATTTCGTTCATCGGAAATATAGTAAGAACTCAAAATAAAAGTAAAAATCCAGGCGGCTACTGCTGACGGAGTTGACCGCCAGCGAAAATTCATCTCTCCTTGCGAAGATTTCGAAGCTGCTCTCCCATAACAAATCTCCTTATTAGATATTTCATTGTTCCTCGTCTGCTAATATTAGTCTATTCTAATTATTACGCTTTGGATACTCCAATTCCAGCAAATCCATTTCGATTTCTTTTTATGCTTCTAACGAACCCTAATTATTCGTTTCCGTTTCAATTTGTCTTAGTTTAGAATACCGACGATTGATTTAAATGTTTTAATGTTATTTGAACAGGAAAAATGAAAGAAAGAAAGATGGGCTTGGAGCAAGCTATTAAAAGTCTGGATGCATTTCCTCGTACGGAGGAACATTTGTTGCAGAAGACGCAATCGGGAGCGCTAGGTGAATTTTCAATTTTTAGTTTATATTCAACTAAAAAAATGATGTATTTATTCATTTGAACCGCTACTAATTGGTTTTTGTTTCAATGGTAAAATTCATTGTTATAGTTTCCATCGTGGTTAGTGATAATGGCCACGCTGTTCTTCATGAGCTTACCTATTATCTTCCAACGAATACTGTTCATCAGGTTTGCATTCTTTTTGTAGTTTTAATTTTGAATGCTACCTATGTTTATGTTTTTAATTTGTTTGGATGGAGTAATGGCGTTGCTCTTTTGTGAATTTCTTAGAATGTTGTTGAACCAACTTGGATTCAATGTTACATTTGATTTTGTGGTTGTTAGCTATTTATTTCCAAAGTTTTCATAGAGGGTGATCGCACTGAGAACAAGTTTGAACAAACTTTATCCACTGCCTTAAACATGCTTGTATGGTATTGTGTCCAATTCTTTTGGCAGTTTATTGGGTAGTCTGTTGTCTAGGTTTCTAATTCAACACCAAGAATGCTTTAATCCTTTGCTTTTGTTTTTATGCAATAATCTTCTGCAATCGCATCTATATGTTCCCCTAAACTACTTAATTTACTGACCTGCCAGATATGAGTCAAGCTAAGGTCAATTTACAACAATTCCATCTTTTGCATACAATTATCATGTATAAAGATTAACTAATACTTTTAACTCAGCAACCCTTATTTGAATGTTATTTAAAAACCGAATCCTTTGATGTTCTACAACGTTAATTCTCCAAGCCTAACTTACCTCAAGTGCCATTAAGGCAGCATTTCTGGGAACTTTTACTATAAGCACCAAGCTCTGTAACAAAGTTATTTACCCTTGGATCTTTCTGTCTGATTTGTAACCCATTGAGGAATTTTGTAACCGATATGATGCCATTAGTAGTTTGAGATCATTTAAGGTTAGGGTGAATTGATCTAATGCTCAGGTATTTGGCAGAAGGTGGATCTTGATACTAACATATGGAAAGTAACAATTTTTGTTTAAGACTTTATTGTTTTATCAATCATGTACTACGAATGAGACATTCTCTTAAGAGGTCCTCCTTTTTATCGTTTAGAAATGGATGTGGGATTTATGGTAAGATTTCCATGTTTTTATATGGCTAACAAGGTTAAATCTTCTGCAGCTTCGCCAATCATGGCCATATCATTGGCACTGAATATTTGTCTGACCTTGTGGAAAGGAGCATGCTGCTCACAAGCATGGTTTGTGCTCTACCTCAGGGTTTAATTTTTCTTTTGGGAGATTTTCCATGTTCACATGTGTGGTATGTTATCTGGACATTATATTTATCAAGGACACAACATCATTTGCACAATGCACAATGTTGCTGATGGTCAATTACTTTGCCTTTTCTCTCTTTCCCATATTTAGGGTGGTGGGGTGAGTAAGCAAAAAACAGTAGAACTCTCATAAAGATTACATGAATGCTAAAATACCCCACTTTTCTCCTTCGAAAAAAGATACGAGTCACTTTGAAAATGAGTTATAAGCATTGTACTTTAACTACTTCCCGAGTTCTAGATTATTTATCATTAACTTTTTTTTTTAAAATGACCAAATTGTTCACGGATTTTATTTAGATAAATCTGAGAGTTTACTTGTTTCTTCTGGGATGCATTAAGCAGAAATATGTTTATATTAGTTTTTTACAACTTTGTTTAGGTCATTATGGTTCATGTGAGGTATAGTAGAGATGAAAATGGTTGTAATCTGATATTTTAAGGCTTAAATAATTAATTTCTTGTAGCAAATATGATCAGGTGATGAGAAGGAACATCATGATGATGCTGAGAAAAGCTTCATGCACTTGGCTTTGATCAAGATGCTGAAAATATGATCAAGAAGGTGCAAGCATTGGACAATGGGAAGGCTGCCGGGTATTTATCCATATTTACTTTTGGGGCCCCAAAGGTCGAAAATGGAAGATTATAAAATCTACTGATCTATAAATGTTACATTTGTGCAGGTTTATGGGGTATTAGATGTCCAAAGGGTGGCAGGAAACTTTCACATTCAATCATGGGTTAAACATTTATGTGCTCAAATGGTTATTAACCTCTTAACAATCTAACCCTCAAACTTTCATGGTCAATGCATGACTGTCAATCAAAACCTCAAAACTCTTTGTTTATTCAAAATTTGTTTCTACTGTAGGTTGATCTCAAGTATTGGTTTTTCCAACCATTGTCTTCGTATTATTAGGCAATATAAGTGCTTTTGGTATTCAGCTAGCATTTTATTTTATTTTATTCCTTCAGTTTATAAGTTCTGCTTGTGTGAATTAGAATTTGCTTGTGATTTCTGATATGCTCATGTGCCAACTTCATCGGTTAACTTTAATAAAAATTCCAGTAGCGGAAGGAAAAGAACGTGAATGACTTTAATTAGAAATTTTGATATCATTTTCAAATTAAGTACCTCATTCTGATCTTAAGACCTGTCGGAGCTTGAAGAGAAAGCCTAGGTCTTCGATTTAGCCTAGATTTGAAACTTTGTCTAGAGTGAAGAATTTAAAATTCTGAAACTAGTTTGCAAGAATGTGCCAGGTTGTATATACATATTTTCTCTATAGTTGCTTGGCACTTTCAGTGTTGAGGATATCTAGAATATTATCATTTTCAGTCTTTTCGAAATGGCTTTTCCTTTATCTACAAATTAAGTTGAAGTCTGTTCTTCTCTCTGCTCACAGATCTTTGGAGGAGCAACGCATGTCAATGTAAGTCATGTGATTCATGATTTATCATTTGGGCCAAAATATCCAGGACTTCACAATCTTGATGGTACGGTGCGGATGTGCACGACACAAGTGGAACATTCAAGTATTACATAAAGGTTTCTACTCCTAAATGCTCTCCTCTATAAACTATGGCATTAGTTTAGACTGCTCCGGTCCTGTAAAATAGCAGCACATCTCTATTCATTCAAGTGCCGTCTTCACCGTGTTGCAGATTGTCCCAACTGAGTACAGATATATCTCAAAGGAAGTTCTGCCCGACAAATCAGTTTTCCGTCTCCGAATACTTTCCCCTATGAAGGCGTTTGATAGGACTTGGCCTGGTAGTTGGATGTGTGGCTTTGTAAACATCACTACTTGTTTTGCACCTTCTGCTAGTAGTTGCTAATTACTTTTCATTCTGTTCAGCCGTTTACTTTTTGTATGATCTGTCACCAATCACCGTGACAATAAAAAGAGCGCCGAAGCTTTCTCCATTTCATCACTCGACTTTGTGCAGTTGGGAGGGCATTCGCTTTAACAGGTTTGCGACCTACAGCCACTATTAAATGATCTAAATTTACTTATATAATTTGAAAGGTTTTGAGTTTCAAGAAGCAAAATTTCCGATTCACACCTTTACTGGTTAGAATTTTCTTGCCATTTTGCATTCACTTTCGGACGATAAACCGACTCTTTTATGCGCCAACCAAAACAGGAATGCTAGCGTGGATGTATAGGCTTCTCGAAGAAGTGACTAAAGCAAGCGGAGGCCGTGCTTCTCAGTAGAAGAGTTGGTTTCGGTTGGTTCGGAGTGCAAGAACAGCATCAACTTGCATCAAATGTGGACTTGAATTCTCAATTTATAAAGAAAGAAAAAACAGTTGCAACTCTATGGCTGTTGCTATGGTTTTTTCCTTAATTATTATATGCTGTGGTGGGTCGTAGAA